GCGCGCGGCCGTTGGCCCTGAGGGCCCTGAGGGCTCCGAGGGCGGGCGGAGCCTCCCGGAGCCTCCTCAGGGCGCGGCCCCGCCCGCCCGCGCCTCTGCCGGCCGGCCGGTGTGTGCTCGTCTCGCTTTGCCTCTTTCGGGTTAACTTTGCACCGTTTGTAATGCGGTTCATTTAAGTGTGTCGGTTTTAAATCTGTCTGACAAAGCACAAGCTGGTCTGGCTGTACTGTGAAGTGGTAGATCCTGGGGGTTTTCCCCCTTCTATGTGTAAACTCGGATAGTTAACGTGAGGGAATGGACAAGCTAAAATAATCTGTGATCGTTTCAGGTTTCATGGTTCACTAGTTAAGTATTGTGTCTCTCTGTGTTAATGTCTCATTGTGTTGTTTAATTCATTAATCTGTTTTAATTAACTGAACAAAGGTAAAGACTGAGGCAATTCTTTCGACTTCAGACCCAAAAATCCTCATAAGACACAATAAACTAAATTTTGAGAAGCGTCAAAAAGATCATTTATTTATTTGGGCATTCCCCTTGACGGTGTGCAGGTTCATTTTGAGGATGGATAAAGGCACAACTGCTAAATCATCGTCTGCTGTGTTGACCTCAAATGCTGCTAAAGGATGGATGAAGAAGAGGGATGGAGCATTACAAGCTGCAAAATGGAATGCTTCTTTAGCTTCTAAAATCAAAACTAAATTAATAAGTAAGTCCTGTTAAAATGAAACTGAAGCCATATACTGTACTTAGAATTTATGATTTCAAAAAGAATTGTAATCGTATTTAACATGATTAGATGAAATTCTGCCTGTTACAAACATTCTGTAACAGATAAGTACAGGTAGGTTTTTATAAAGACAGTGGGAATATATATATTTTAATATAAAGCTTTTTTTTCTTTAGGTTGTCAAAACTCACATTTATTATGAGAATGTTTGAATGTTTTAATTTGTAACATTTATAATTTTTTTAATATTTGTAAATATTTTTATGCCCGTGAAACTATCAAATTTTAAATGTTTTCTTCTTAAAATATCCAGACTAGAGCAAATCTATGCATGAAATAAACTTGAAACAGACAGAGTAGTCATCAGAATGGCAGCTCTGTAAACTGTTTTATATTGGAAAGTGTTAGGCTTTGCTGCTATAGCACCAAAACCTACAGATAAAAACGTTGTCACATAAAGAGGGCCTGGAACTGAAGCTGTTGAAAATAATATTATTTTGTCTCCTTTAGATAACTCATCTATGTTTAAAGTATCTTTACAACAAAATAACAAAGCGTTAGCTGTGGCTTTGAGTGTTGAAAAAGAAAATTCTCGCAAGCTAAAGAATGAGAAGATTTTTCTTCAGAAGGAAGTAGAAAAACTGCAGCTTCATAATATCTCACTTCGTCAAAAACTGTCCAGTGTGGTATGCAGCAAATAATATTATTTAAACTTAGAGCAGTTAAACTAGCTTTTATCTTTTTTTGAAACTTAATATTACTTCTAAAGTGGTGGCTTAAAATACATGTTTCAGATTTGTGAAGTTATATCACCTGACTGCATAATATTTACGTTTGATTTTTCTTTTTTAGCTCTTTTTGATCTATTTTGTCTATCAGTGTGTATGTCTATAGCTATTTTAGTCCCAGCTTCAGGTTTATATTTATAGGTATTGAGATGAGTTTGTGCTCAATTAAGTAAAAAAAAAATTGCAGCATAGACTCACCTTTTATATCTTGTCTCCTCTTACCACTTAAAATATATTTTTTCTGTTATATGCAGAATAAAACTCTTATTGGAATAGAGGCATTTTTGAATGAAAACCTCTTAACTGCAATAGAAATAAGCAGTTCTTCTGAGGTAAGATGTTTTTTCAACTTTACCATATTGATCACATCTTCCAGGCTAAGATTTTCAAAGCATCAAGTTGAGTGCAATATTGAAATACTATTTGTATTGTAAAACATTTACCTCAACTCCTTAAAACTTTTTTAAAAGGTTAAACCAGTATATTAAAATCGATGGAATTTTACTATACTGAAATTTAGCATTTAATCTGGTTTCCAGAGTATCTAAAAGTTAAATATCAGTTAGCCTGAAAGAAGAATCGTGTGGTTAGAGAAAAGCTTAGCACTTCAGTATGTAGTGAGCAGGCTAGCTGCCTTCCTTGCTTAGTGCTGTATTAAATATCTTACATCTGGAAACTTAATCAGAAAACATAGTCCATGTTAGTCCTTGTGTCATGGAAAAAATACAATTAATTTTTTAAAAAGGAAAATACTATGTTGTCTGTTCTGAACTTGCTTAGTGTTGCTCTGTGCTTCTATATGTGTAATGTAGTTTGTATGATTATATATATATTTAGAAAGTCTGTACATTCCTTTGGGATAAAAGTAGATTATGTATTTTGACGAATTTTGTAACAAAATATTTCACTTTAAAATTATTGCATGTGTTAAATATCACGTGTCTTCCATCAGTGCATGCATTTTTTTCCCATTCATTTTGGGGGTTATTTTTTTCCCTGTGGGTATTTCCAATACTTAAAACATAAGAGAATATGTAACTATTTGTATTTCCCTGCTGTTCTCCTTTTGAAAGGACCTGCAGAGTTCCTTTCCCCTGTCAGCTGGCCCAAGCAGCCCTACTGGTGACAGGTTCAGGAGTGCACATCGGTCAGCTCGGTACGTGCTTGTATCAAATGCCAGAGGTGGTTGGTGTCTGTGGCTTTCTCTTACAGCTAATTGTTGTACATTGTCCTAGGTAGTTTTGAGATAATGAGAAACCATTTTCTGTTTAGTCCAGAAATTACCTATTTGTTACTCAAAATTTAGAGTGGTAGACAAAACTTGTGTTTGAGTAACTCACTGCTTGTATCGTGTGATCTCACCAGCCCAAAGCAGGATTTGTTATCATCAAAAATACATTTGCCCCAAGACAGAACCCAATATCATACTTAAGATCTTGTTTTCGGCTATTATACATTATTAAGGGAACATTTGAAACAATTGAATGTCATGATGGAAAATGTAATAAAAATCTTCACAGTAAAATTTTCTCTTTTCAGATCTGTAGAATTGTCAGCAAAGCTTCCTTTCATTGCAACAGCTAATGCAAAGCAGCAAGATAGACCTTCTCTGGGCAAAGCATCAAATTCTTACAAGTGTTCCACTAATTTCACAGAGGAATTGCATTCAGATCAAGTCAAGTTTGCATCACTCTTGTCTCCTGGTACAAATAATCAGAAGTTCATTGAAACAGAACCAATGGTTGACAGGAATAGATTTTTGAAAGGTATGATGTATTTCTGTGTAAGTGATTTATTTTTTCACACTCTCTGAGATTTAGTATTTCATAATTCATTACTCAATGTGCAGTACAGAAGGTATAGTAAGACTCATAAACTGTAAAAAACTAATGAAAAATAAATGCTCAGCCATAAGTATAGGTGTCCTGACAATCATATATAGAATAATACTCATTGAAATTACATAGCTAACTAAATAATAGCTCAAGTAGTTATACAAAAATAGTTTTATTTATGTCCAATTTCAAAAGTCCAACTTCGGTAAATTATGAAATTAGCTTCAGTTTACTGAATTTTTAAGGACCAACCATAGAATGTGTGCATTCAGTTTAAAAATAAAAAGTATAATTTTCCATACTTCTGGTTCAGCCTTCAGTAGTTTTATGCAGATAACGACACTCCATTCTTCTTTTCTCCAAGCTGCTGAAATTTTTCTCTTTGCAGAAAATGAACTGTGTGCAGAATTAAGTTGCAATAGTGCCTTCCTAACTCATGGAAAAAATACACAATCCTTAGAACAGTCTGAGGAGCCTACAGAACAATATCATAGCAGTTTATTGCCATCCTATGAAAATGTGACTGAAAGAAAGAAAAATGCAGTACTTTGTAAGTCAAAAACTCAACCTTATATAAAGGATTTCGATAAAAAATGTAGGTCATTGAGTCTGCCTCATCGTATCATCAACAGTAGCAGCAACACTGATGATAAGAATTTGCAGGAAGGTTCAAGTGACTTGTCTTGCCTTATTCCTTCACCTCTTAAATTTAACAGTGAGACAGGTTTTAACAAGCTGCTTTTTACTGACAAGATGAAGCCTGAAGAAACTGTTTATGATGCTGATATGGAGTTGACTGCCAGTGATGCATGTGAACTACTCACAGTTACCACAAAAGGCAATTACAAGTTGCAGCAAAATAAAATTAATAATGCCAATTCTGACAAAATATTACCAAATTTCAGAAAAGTAAAATATTCTAAGAAGGATAAAGAAAAAATTAAAAGAAAAACTGAAGTCCATTCAAATTTGCATGCAGAAGAAAGGCTCTCTAGGGCTGACAATAGTGAATCTTCAGAAACTACTGCTTCACAAAGTCAGCTATTCCAAAGTCAGACAGAACAGCTACCTACAGGAAATTCTATAGAGCAACAGAAGAGAACAAGTAAAACTAAGGATTCCAGGAGGACATACCAGATTAATGTAATGAATCCAACAAAACAAGAGACAAATAGAGGAACATTCTCAGAAATGTTTGAAGAAGTGGAAAGCAGAATACAAAAAACAGACTCGTGCTCATCTGTTAACAAGATCCTACCAGAAGTTTGTGTTGAAAATTTACCATTCCAAGATAACATTTCTGATGCATTGGCTTTACAGGAGGGCTTTCTGAGTACAAATGAGAAAGATAACAAACCAACAATAAAGACGAAGACTTCTCAAAACCTTTCCAAAGCAAACACAGAAAAATCCTGTAGAGAGGAAAACGGCCAGTATGGAGAATATATTTCAAAAAAATCTCAAACAGAGATAAACCAATGTGACAGCAGCAAGAGAAAACAAGACCAGAAGAATATTATACAGAGAAAAAACAAAAAAAGTAGTTACAGCCAAGGTAGAGAAACTGAAAGTGACAGCCCTCCTAAAGTTAGTCAGAGAGTAGACCAAAAGAGCAGCCATTTTTCACCAGGCAGATTGAAGCGTACATTGGCAAGGGCCAGCCGGAAGGCATATGTAATACCAAAGGAAAATCTTACACGGTTCTCAGTTTGTAAAAATGAAGAATTAAAAAATAAGGGTTCATTGCTTGCAGAGGCTAGAAAGAAAGTAACTGTAACTCAGCAAATACAGGTAGCTTTAGTTACGCAGAATGGTGTAGCGCGGAGTACACCACAAGCTAAAGAACAGGTTGATGATGATGCTAACAGGTTAAAGAAGGTAAATTCCTCAGCAGTGGCAAGTAAAACCTCCCACATAAATAATCTTCCTGATAAGCATGTAAAGCAGAAACAGAGGTTTAGTTCTGATATTATTGAGACCAGACAAGATAAAAGTTACTTCAGGCATATTGCTCAGGAGTGTCAGAATGTTTTGGATGATCAGGAAGTCCCTCATGAAATGAATTCCTTAGTGAGTAAGTTGAAGCCTGTGATTGAAGTTGAATGCTGTAAGAATATGCCATTTAAGGCAGATAGCTCTTCCCAGGAAGGTCTTCCCAATGTGGAGTTCCCAGCTCTTGATAACCACAATGCTTCCATCAATTTTCCCAGGAAGGTCTTCCCAATGTGGAGTTCCCAGCTCTTGATAATGCTTCCATCAATTCTTCTATACTGAAAAGCTCTGAAACCCACAGGCAAAATGATTGTAATGAAGCACTGGATGCTGAAAAAGGAGAACAAAATATGGATCATATTTCTAAACAGAGTAACAAAAATACTCTGACACCTTGTCATGGTAAGTGTGTGGGCTAGAAAAAGCAAGGCATTTTGAATTATGTAGTGCCTGAAATAGTGGTAATATATCTTCTCTTAATTCTGTCCTCTCATGGCTTGTTAAGAGCAGATTAAACAGGAGTGGAAAAGGTAAGAATGAAAATCACCAAAATCTTCTATATCATGTATGAGTTACAATGTCTTTTTAAATTGTGGTGACTAATATCCTTGTTACTTTTCAATATATCCCAAGGTGATACTTAGCAGGGCAGATATAAGTAGTCTACATTCTTGAGAAGCAATTTTAGTTAAAGAACGTATTCCTTTTTTGAAGAATTCCATTACATTCAAAAAACTGGGGATTGAAAGATAAAATACCTTGAGCTTTTATCCAAGAGAAACAAGACAGGACTACACTGTTCCCTTCTTAAATGGAAAATATATCTAGACTTAAAGATTTCATTTTTGTTTCTTTAGAAACACTGCAACTCAACAGGAATTCTGGTATGTAAAAGAAATGTGTTGAGTAGGTTTTTTTATAACTTGCCCGTGTGCCAACTTTGATGTGACAATCTCTTTTTTAATGTAAGATGCATTAAGAACGTTAGAGAACTTTAGTGTGGAAGATAGGTTTAAATTCTTCTATAATACATGCAATTATTATAATGCAATGTAATGGAGTTAATACAATGCAGTTGTGCTGAGTATCTTTAGTGTAGGAGCAGTAATCAATGTACATGAATTCAGAAACACATATCAAAAATAATTACTAATTGAAGTTTACATAATGATTCAGGAAATATTTAAAATGAAGCATATAAACTGTTGTATTTACAGGGAGAAAAGCTTTCCAAGAACTGACAAATACTAGTATACAATTTCACCCTTCTGTACCTAAATCCCCCCAATCTTTAGAAGACTCAGCAGCACCACTGAGACGAGGCAGACCCACTATTTGCTACAAGGAACCCAATCTTCTCAGGTAGGTACACATAGATTGGGGCTTTTGTTCTTGACTTTTGTGTACATAACTACCCCCAGTAAGGTTTTAACCCTTATTAAAACACCTTATTAAAAACCCTTGAGCTATCACAGATCTCTTTTGCAAAGATACTTCACTGTTGATATAAAGCTTCTCCAGTTAGTGTGGCAGAATTTCCAAGTGCCAAAGCAAGACAAAAATAGTATTCAAATATCTAAAATATAGTTTGGACTAATAGAAAATAATAGTGAATCTTAATGCTTGTCATTATATAAACCCCTTTAGAGATGAATAATTATGAATGTTATACTTAAAGGTAAATTATACCATAATAATGTCCTTGTAATCTTGTCAAATGGAAAGAAAATTTACGTACTAATATTATATAATTCAGTAGCTTTAATTTAACTAGCTGTATGGAAGATAAAAATCATTGAAGAGATATTAATTTGATAGTTGGTTATATTGGATATATTATTTTATAATTAATTTGACTCCTATTATTCTTAGCAAATTTAGTGGCACAGGATTTTATAGATTATTAAAAGACAAGACATAAATTGTGAAACAACTTCTGAAATTTAAAAGGGGATTTGAAACCCTAACTTCCATTAAGAAAACTGATATATTTGCCCTTACATGAATAGATCTAAATATAAATGGACCTTTGGGTTCATTACTTCTGAAAATATTCTGTGGGATTTTGCCAGAAAGTTGTTGAGGTTTTTCTGTTTGGTTTGGATTTTTTAAAAGTACAATATTAATTTAAGGAACAGTTCCACTGTGTTGAGCGTGTGTTAGTAGGATTTGTATTCATGAGGTACAGACAGTAGAAAGGCTTCCTTGGAACAGGGAAGAAGTGAAAGGATTATACCAACTTACTTTATGAGAAAGGTATAAAAAGCCTTTTATTCTGGCAATACTGTCGCAGGAGAAGATAAATGCACAAACTGAAAAAAAATTAGAGCACTGTTCTCATACAACCTCGAAATATTTATTACTTCTGTGATTAAGCTAACAGTTGAAGCAGCAAGACTGAGGAAAAGTAGGAACTAAAAGTAATGTAGGAAGTCTTCACTTTACCACTTGCAATTCGTAAATATTTATGCCAGATAACTTATTAAAAAAATGGGAAAGGGATTAGAGTCACACTTTTATTAATTGACTTATATGCTAAAATTCTTTAGTATTATATACTGACACATTGCCACTCTTTTACCCCAAAATGATAAGGTTCTGTATTTCTGAGAAATGGTAACTAATAACACAAAAAAATTTTTATGCCAATCAAGATTTTAGATTATTGTCTCCTATTTATATTTTAGTTAGATTTACACTGTTCTGAATGGGTGCTGTTGAGTTTAAAAGAAGTTTTGAAGTTTGTTTTATAGAAATATCACATCCTAATATGATTGAGGTCACATATTTCTAGCATTATTTTACTAGAAGTTGTTTTGCTAGAAAGCAGTGTCTTGCTTTTTCAGACATACTTATTTTCCACAAGTTTAATTTCTTTAGCGTATCAAGCTTTCATTAATGCTATTTACCATTTGAATTATTATGATTACATTTCTATAGTTGCACATATGCTTGATGATATTCACACCTGGTGTCTTTTACTTCTTTTCTTTACAGCAAATTAAGGAGAGGGGATCGATTTACAGATACACAATTCCTCAATTCCCCAGTCTACAAAGTAAAAAATAAAGGAAATTTTAAAAGCAAATCAAAATTTTATTAAGGAAGAGAGAATTGCCTTTATGGACAATACTTCTAAAATGGGTACAATTGTTTATGTATATATGTATATGTTTAGGAATATAGAGTGTTTGTTGTTCTTTGACTAGTAAAGGTCTTCCACAGTGAAATTTTCTGGAGAAGAACCTTTGTAAAAGGGGCACAGAATACTTCACTGAGGAAGGCATATACAGGTTAGGCTCACTCCTGTTTTGCATTTCTGGTCAGTAATTTATAATCTGTTCAAATGGTTTGTAGCACTTCTTAAATTGTTAGAAAAGATATGTTTTAATGAGAAATAAAAATAAACCAGCTTTGGGAATTGTACTGTGAGTTATTCATGCTTATTTTGAGTGGAACCATTTCTCAGTGCTGGTTGGAATGGATACACACATGCCAAGTTTTTATGAATTTATTGAAATAGATGGAGATACTGTTTTTTGATAGTTGACTTTTGGATTTGACAGAATCCCACTGAGATTTGAACAAGGAAATCTCATTGAGGCATAATGGAGGGAAGTCAAGTGCCCACAGTGTGTGCCAGAGGCAGCAAGGAAGAAAAAAGCAGTGCAATAGGAATTCAGTAGCAGATAGGATCTAGAGAAAGCAACATGTTTAGTTTCCAGTTGAGAGTGCCAGTGTGACAAGTAATGCAATAATGTCATACCATTCAGCTTTCAGGTTTTTCTACTGCTTCCCCTCTGCATTCTATAATGTGCTGTCAGCTGACAGTTTTCTGGCAGTATCTGATTTGTAGATGCTACCAGAGGCTCACTACCCACACAACTTTTACACATTACAATAGATAAGATTCAGGTTAATTTTGCAACAGAGAGGTATTTTTGATGAGATAGAAATGAGTTAACTTATTTTGATTATAGATGGTGGTTCTTCATGCATATGCAGTAGATGATTACACAGGTTTAAAAATTGATCAGACACATTAATGGAAGAAACATCTATGAGGAATTAACAGAAACACCATTTCTGGCACAGGATGTTCCTGAATTGCAAATTTTTAAAGCCTGGAAGATGATTGTGGAGAAGTCTTACTATGCCTTTGACCAATTTTTGTACCTTTTCCAAGGACATTCCCTGCTGACAATTTTAGAGACAGTTCTTTGGTTAGCTTGACCTTTGGTCTAATACAGCATGTCTCTTTAAGAGGTGTAACTGATATTCTTAAATTTATAATGTATTCTTTAAAAGTATATTCTTAAAATACAATATATTCTTTTAAAATTATAACATATGCTTTAAAACATTCTTTTAAATGTACTCTTTGTACTTCATTGTAGATTACATTGTAAGCTGGGAAGCTGATGGAGAAAATAGTCCTTTAACACGTGTTAAAGACAAGAAGGTGGCATTGATTTGTAATCAGGAAATCAGACTTTATGAACCGGATAGTCTTCTCCAACTAGCTTGGTGGGTGAGGGCAGAGCACTAGATGTTTTTCTCCATTATAGTAGGGCTTTTGACATTTTCTCTGACAGCATTCCACAGACAAACTGACAAAGTATGGGTTTGTTAAGGGCACAGTGAGGTGAGTTGAAAAGCTGGAAGGTTGTGATTAGTGCCAAATGGTCCAGCTGGAGGCAAAACATTAGAGCTCCTTAGGGTTTCACACTGCTGCCAGCAGTGATTAACACGTTCACTAACAATCTGTATGAGCCAGTGCACCCTACACAAGTCTGCAGTTGATCTGAAACTGGAAGGAGTGGCTGAAATACCCCATGATTCTGTCACCATTCAGAGGGATCTGGTCAGGCTGGAGAAATGTGCTAAGAGGAATCTCAAGTTCAATAGGAGGAACCTACGTCCTTCTGCGGTGAGTTGCCAGAATTTCAGCTGTGTATTTTGACAGAAAAGGGACTCACACATGTCAAAATACACTCCTGGATATAACATTTCAGGTGTGTACATTCTACATGTAAGTCTGGAACTATAACAATAAACACCAAGAGGCGTAAAGGTATTATTTACAAATGCTTAAGTAATACCAAAACTATTTTCTGCTGTGGTTATTTTACTATGGTCTGTAGCCCTAAGGCAGCTTCCTCAAGATCCTGTAGGGCTTCCCATGTATGAAGTTAGAGTTAAATGTATCACTAATGAGATAGTTTACATTTATTCCCTAAACAGAGAGTTGTCTAGCTGTGATTACCAGTTGCAAAGATCATGTAAAGATTGTAAATGTACAGCAGTAAGTAGAGCAAGGTATTGTCATATAGAACCTTGCCATACAAATAGAGTATTCAATCAGTATGAAAATTCTTCCAATAAAAAACTTACCTCATCACCCAGGCAATGTCATCTGTACTGCAAAACAGCTGTTAACATTATCTGGGAAGTTTCAGCAGACAGACTTTATTCTTTGCATGCTGTGTATGTCACTCCATTAGCAAGACTATTATGAAGAGGTGCAGAAATTGTTGGGAAGATAGATTCCATCCTTTTTCAATGTTATTTTTTAGAAAGAAGTACATATAGAAATTATTAAGCATTTTCCTTGTTTTTTATTACCAACTTTGTAATTAATTTATTTTATTTTTAATTGAAATGTTCTTGCTAGCTTCTACTATTTATCAACATCATCAGCTGTGTCATTAGAAACCCTCAAGAAATACCTGTTAAAACTTGTGTTCCCAGTGCTGGCACTGTAGAAGCAAAACACAGTGTTTTTTTAAATGGTTGTTTCTCTCTACTGCCTGTGGTTTGAAAGCTAGAAACAGAGGCACATGCTTTATCTTCTCAGAAAATAAATAATCGCTTTGGGGATGGGCTTAATTACTTTTTCAGTGAAGGTCTTGTTGTTCCACACAGCCTCAGGTGTTACCAGCTAGACTGCTAGTGTGTCCCAAACACAAGCATGTAATTTTCAATAAAAGTAAAAGGCCCGAGGCTTTATGCCTTCATTTCTTCCATTCCTTTAGTACAGATATCCTTCCAAGTAAAAAAGGATAAAGAAAGTGGCCTGAAGATCACAGAAGTTATTTTAAGTAACTGTAAAATCATATTATTGCTACTGCCCTTCTTTGCTTGTTTTCTCCATCCTCACTCTTGTTGCTCAAATTGAAGTTCAATAACAGAACACAGAGAAAACCCACTTTGTTATTTCCTAGGTTGCATTTCTTTTTATTGTTACACAAAATGATCACATAAAAGCAGCATAGAGAATGTTGCATTGTCTTTGAACCTTCACTATGTGCTTGTTTTACCAGGTCATTTGATAAATTAGAAGCTCTTTCCAGAAAAATTATTTAAAAGCAGCTCATGATTTTTGACATAAAAATCAATTTGTAGCCATCACCAGGAATTAGGATAATTTTCCTGAGGATAAGGTAATTTGAACTTCTTTTTTTAGCTTTAAAGTTGCTTTTTCTCATTTTTACTCAATGTAATTTAAATTTGGTAGGAAATTAATTCGATATATTTTGATTATACAAAAAGAGGAAAGTATTTTTTCTATAAAACCTTGCCTGCACAAGTAGCCCTTACAAATGGTTATGATACCTGGACCTTGCTGCTGATTATTTTGTGAATGCAAATATAACCAAAAATCCCATTGGTCTCATGAACACTACATTGCTGGGTTTGACCCCAATTTAAAATTACTCTTGGTGATTTTATTATAAGAACCTGATAACAGTGCACAGTGTTAATGCTGCCGTTTTGCTCTGCAGGAGCACCTGTGTCCTTTGAGAAAGTGCGAGGTATGGCTTAGCTTTCCAACACTTAAATAACACCTGAGGAGGCTGAAGTCAGTCAATATTTGCAGTCAGCTCAGAACTTTGAAAACAACGACGGTGTTACCGCCTGACTCGGCCCCGCTCTCCGCGCCCGCCCCGCTGCGCCGCGACCCCGCCCCGCATAACGGGGCACGTCCAGCTGCGCGGCTTCCCTGCTGCTCCCGGCTCCGGCCTGCCAGCGATGGCTCTGCCAGGGGCCGCGCCGGCTGACGAGCTCGTTTTCTATGTGAACGGGAGGAAGGTGAGTATAGCCCGGAGAGAGAGGGGCTGAAGGAACCCCGGAGGGCACCGATTTGGCTTCCTCAGACTTATTCATATGAGTGTAACCGAATCCTCGCACAAACCTCCAGAAGAAGGTTGGGTGAGTGCGTCCCATTTTGGCTAGCTCTGCCGTGTTTGGGAGAAAAACTGTGTTAAAGTGAAACACACTTTCAGCTGAGTATCAAACTTGGCTGGTAAGCAAACCCCTTTTTTCATTTGGATGTCTGGCTTCTCATCTCTGATGGTGTCAGGTTTTCACAGGCACAACTGAAAGCAAGACTTTAGTGCCTAAATTTGGACTATTGAGCATGATGACAATATTGCAAGGACTGGCTGTTGATCCAAAGCAAGTGTAACGAATTAGCTGATTCGAAGTGACCAAATAAGAAATACTGTACTCAATCAAGAATGTGGGTATTTCTGTTACTCTCTGTCATCAGTTTCTTACAGAAGGTGAAGGTGAATATAAATAAAACGAGAAAAGAAACTGCTACTGCTGATAGCCTTACAAACTTCCTGTAATGTTTATTCCAGTATGTCAGAATGCCAGGGAGGCCTTAAAATCTGCAAATCTTTAGTTAATTATTTATGCTGTCTTTAAAGTTCTGCATTTTTATTTCTAGTGTGGCCGAAGGTCGGCTCCCTAGTATAACATTTCACTGAGCAGCAGTTATTTTTAGTACTTGCATGGTGTAGGTTCTGGAAGTGTATGTATCTGCAAAGGAATTTCCAAAAGGAGCCTAAACTATCCTGTGGTGTTTGCCAATTAGTGTAGTTCTATGAGAGGGAGCCAGAAAGGATTCTCTTCTGGCTTTGTGTGAATGTAGTCTGTGCCCTGAATTTTGAAAGGCCTTGGTTTCTTAATAAAACCTTGTTTTTACTTTCTTGCTGTAGATAATAGAGAAAAATGCTGATCCTGAACAAATGCTCTTGGCTTATCTTCGAAAGAGGCGTATCCTTTTCTTGTCTGTTCCCTAAAGTCACTCATGAAAACCTTATTCAAGTAAAATTCTAAGAAATTTTAATTCAATGCTTAACTACCAGATTAAGGAAGTTGTGATTCCTTTAAGAGAAATCAACCACACTAAATGATGTCTCTTTCTTAATCCAAATATTCTTCAGCTGAGCAGTTGTATTTTTAGCCTG